GTTCACTGCTTCGGTGATGCTATCTAACCATCTCATCTCTGCTGTCGTCTTCTCCTTTTGCCTTCAATCTTTCCCAGCATCAGGGTCTTTTCCAAAGAGTCCTCTCTTCACATTAGGTGACCAAAGTATCTGAGCTTGAGCTTCATTATTTACCTCAATTAACATATTTCACTTGAATTTTAGAATGTGGTGGGGGAGATTTGGGACTTTCCTAGAACTAGTGCTGCCTTTTCTCACAAATATCTTTTCCTAACACTCAAACTACCATTCTTAGAAAATGATTTTTTCCCCATAGCAAGTAGTATCACAGAGACCTGGAAATATCTAGAATGATATTCTTATTACCATTGTCATCATCCACACATAGCATCACAAATTTCTTTTCTACAATAATCCTTCCAGATGTGCTGAAGCTACAACTCTCTAAAATCTGAGTTAAAACCCCAGCTATTGCCAATAGCTGGGTGGGAATTCTGGGAACTGCAGTTACAACATAACCTTGAATGCATCAGAATGAGTAAGATATCTGCAGTTTCCTGTGAAACAACTTTAAGCCTGCACAAGAGAGAAATGCCATAGAACTGCATTCACACTTACTGCCAAGCCACAGTGGGTGAAGGCTCACATTATGTAAGATGGAAACCACATTATGGCTTAGTGTTATATGTGAACCAGACTACTAGATCATCTTAAGACAAAGGAATAGGAAAGGTTTTGGTGGTTGAGCCTTAATAACCAGCCTTTGTACTTCAACTTGAAATTTCAGCAGGACTTGGTCCAACAGAAAAGTTTCTTCAGAATTTGTTTTGGAACCAGACTTTCAATTTCCATATGAGTCATCCAGTGTGAGAAGGGGTAAATAGCAGCAAAACTATAATCATTCTTTTTTCTTTTCCCGTAAAAAACATATTACTTTTGGAGATAATGGGATGTTTTGATCTGATTCTCTAGAGCAAAAGATTATCATCATTTTGTAGCCTTGGCCACTTGCCTTCAAGTGAAATGAGGTTCAGGGTGATCAGCTTCACAAGAAAGTTGGCACTGTCCAGAAATAAAAGCTTTGCAGCTTTGAAACAGTTATGCTCAGATCTAGTTTTCCACACAATTATGTGTATGTATTATATGCAAAATGTATCCTAGAGATGTATTTATAAGATGTTTCTTAAAAGTAAGGGAATATATACAGGAGCCACATCTGGCTCCTAGGCTGCCATTCGATCATCTCTAAATTAGATAAGTCCTACCAAATTAGAAGAGGCATGATGTTCCAAATTTGTGAGCCCCCCCTTTGCAAAATGTGTGATTCATCTGCTTAGGGTGGATTCAGATCACATAGCTGCTCATAAGCTAATTAAATAGGGAAGAGGCTGCTTAGGTAGGTACAGGTGGCCACTTACCTACCACAGATGAGAATTGATCAGAGATGACATTCTGCCAAGTGGCAAATTGTCATTCCGTGCAGAGCACATGCTTCGCATACAGAAAGTTCTAGGTTTATTTTCTGACAACTAAGCAGGGCTGGGGAAAAAATCCTTTCTGAAATCCTGAAGGGCAGCCACCAGTCCCTATGCATAATGCGAAATCAGTTGCAAACAGTGGCCCAACTCAAATACAGTGGCTTTCTATGGGGTAAATCCAACCTTAAGTAGACTTGCACTTCAACAGTGGGGCATCCCTTCCTTCTTCTTCCCTAGATCTGCTTTGGAAAGTTCTCTAATATCTGGAACAGGCTTGGGGTGTTTGTGGGTAGAGGAGACATCTGTTCTGTTGATGAATTATATCAGCAGATAGATACCACAAGAAATGACCCTATATCTTTAACTTCATAAAAAAAATAAAAAGTGCTTTTCTGATAGCAATGGAGTTCCTGATGAATGGCGCTGCCCTGTTTTGTCAGTCATTACAGGCAAGGCATACTGCAATCCCGTTAGCATATCACCAGCCATCAGGGAAAAACATCTACCCCTCAGGGTACTGCAGCAGGAATGGGACATGCCTTAATTCAGGATTGTCTGTACTTCTCTAGGCTGTGTTGCCTATCTCTTGTTCCACATACTACTTGAGCATCTCCCAAGTTAAAATAATGGGAAATAAACAAACATATGGGAAATCCCCAAGGCAAAAATAGCTCTAGAGAAGAGGGAGGTAGATCTTACCATGATTTTTAAGCTAGCTCTATCCTCTAGAGCCCCAACTGAAACTGAATAGTTGATAAGACAACCTTCTCTCTTACTTCAGGAAAGGGGGGTGAAAGTGATTGAAATTGACGAATGCTGGGACATGGGCAAATAAGCAACAAAATCTCTACTGTATTCAAGACCTTTTCTTATTTTCTGGAAGTGCAAGAAAAGCAGGGCTGTTACACCTTAAGGCAGGGATGTATTTTACAATACCATTCAAGCAAAATAGTGAAAAGCACTCCCTCTTCTTTCCCACATAAACTAGTGGAGCTCTGCTTCCTCTCCGTTTCTGGAAACCTGAAAAGAAGCTGGTGTCACAAACACCTTTTTTTTTTTTTTATTTTGGAGGGGTGAGGGGACAGGTCTAAAATGATTTCAGGAAATAAACTGCTGATGGAGAAAGCAAATGAATGGGGAAAAAATGGCTGCAGTGGAAGCAGACTTGTAACCAGACACCTCTGATCACACCCAGAACAGGTCATTTGACTTTGTCTTTAAGGTAATGGGTGGCAAAGTATATTAAGTTTTTATGCAACTGGAGTTGGAATAAGGCTACCTCAGTTGTGTGCTGGGGATGAAAGAAAGATTACATCATGAGACCCAGGAGGGAGGAAGGAACTGGTCTTGTCAAAGCATGATTACATCAAGATTAAATGCAAGTATGGACAGGACCCAAGCCATAGTTGTAATGATGCCAACTTATCAACCATACTTTCAAACTTTGGGTTACCACTCTAAAATATAGTTATAGATATATTCACTAACACTGGTTCACTGATCACACTACATCAACAATGAATACATGTGATTCCAGCTAATATGTTTTTTAATGACCCAGGTTGCATGTAGAAAGTCTTTCACATTTACTAATGCTTTCATATCTTAGCAAGTAAAAGTAAAATAAAACCACTAAGGGTTAGAATGCGAAGAGAGATCTCTTTGGAGAAGACCCTGATGCTGGGAAAGATTGAAGGCAAAAGGAGAAGAGGACGGCAGAGGATGAGATGGTTAGATAG